TACGGAGGTTGGCAATCATCATAGCTATCTTAATTTTTGAGGCAGTAGCTCTAAATAGTTGTTTTGAGCTGCATCCAAACCATTCTCTCAGGTTCTTTAGCCATGAAATTCGTCTTCTTCCGATGCTTCTTCTGCCATCTATCAAAAGATGCAGAAGTGCAAATTATACACTAATTACGGGTGAGCACAGATCATAACAAAGCTATCGACAATGATAAGGCTACAAAAACTGTGTTTCCTAACAAAATATACAACATTGTTTCACTTACCTTATGTAGACGGGATATTGTGGTACATTCTCTTTTCTGTCAGATACATATGCTTCACCTGCATTTCTCTGATGCTTACGGATGTTTCTTTTCCACTGATTAATATTGATTTTTTGTTTTTTCCCTCTATTTATGTGCAAAAGTGTAGACAACGACACCTTAACCTCCATTTTTATAGAGATAGTAGTTTGACAGTAACGTACAAACGTTTTTGCACGGTAACCAACAGTGCGGTACGAAAAAATTTAGTGTTAAACGACCTAGAGTTTTTAAAGATGAGGATTCAATAAATGTTATGATTGATATGATTCTTCAAAATTATAATTTATAAAAAAACGAACTATTATACAAAATATATGTTACACTCAGAGTACATCAAAAAAGTTATAAATTATAATGATTACTGAAATCTTCTTTCAATAGCTTTTGTAAACATGGTATTTATATATTATTGTTACGCCTCTGGTTTCAAGCTCCGGCCAGTGCACGTTTGAATAATAATAGCCGTAGAGTATACTAGAAACTAGAATATCATGTCAATTTACGCTAAAGAGTATTTATTTATTAAATCACAATGCTTCAATGACATGCTTGTACTTGATTAACAGAGAAATAGCCTTATAATACACCTAGCTATAGAGTACTAAAAAATTATTTATCAATAAATTGGACAATAGGGATTGGGTTTATTTAATACGATTAATAATATGAATTGGACTCCATTATGCACAAGGACCAATTGACATTATCTTATTTTGAGAAAATCAATATAAATATTTTATTGGTTTGAACCAAAAAATTAACTCCCAAGGTAAAACAAATCACTTGGTTCTTTGTTGTTAACCCTCCGTTAGTCGCGTGGTTTTTGCTGACCAGTTTGACCAGAAATATTTTTTTATTGTGTAATACCGACTTTTAAAAAATTTGACAAATAATGGTTAAAAGCATGTTTATGTATATCTGTACTTTTATATTAGATATGCTTTGTTCCTTAGCTTTGGTACTGTTCTTCTTCTTCAAGTTCCACTCCTATCGGAGATTGGAAATCATTCTGGCAAGTATAATTTTATTGGTTACTCGCCTGAATAGTTCAATTGAACTGCATCCAAACCACTCACGGAGATTGCGTAGCCACGAGATTTTACGTCTTCCTACGCTTCTTCTACCTTTGATTTTACCCTGCGTTATATTCCTTAGTAGTTCGTACTTTTCACCTCTCATGATGTGCCCCAAGTATTCCAATTTCCTGATCTTTATGGAATTTAAAACTTCGCATTGTTTTCCTAGTTGTTCGAGAACTTGTTCGTTTGTTTTGCGATCCATCCATGATATTTTCAAAATGCGTCGCTAACACCACATTTCGAATGCTTCTAGGTTTTTAATGTTGGATTTTTTAAGTGTCCAAGCTTCAACTCCATACAAAAGGGTAGAGAAAATATAACATCGAAGCACTCTTATCCGGAGCGATATATTGATATCGCGATTACAAAAAAGTTTTCTCATTCTATTAAAAGTTGACCGCGCAATTTCAATGCGGCATCTTATTTCTTTTGTCTGATCAGTATCTTCTGTGATCCATGCTTCAAGGTATTTGTACGAAGATATTTGTTCAATTTCTGTATTGTCTAGTACTAGCTTAACTTTGAGGTTTTGTGCTTTTGTAAATACTATGAACTTTGTTTTCTTCAAATTGATTTTTAGTCCATAATCGTTGCAATATATATTTAGTTGTTCAGCAAGGTGTTGCAGTTCTTCTAGTGTTCCTGCCAAAAGGACGGTGTCGTCAGCATATCTTACGTTATTAAGTGGCTCACCGTTTATTATAAGGCCCTCACTGATCTCGGCAAGCGCTAATTCTGAGATGGCTTCACTGTATAAATTGAATAACAAGGGTGATAAAATACACCCTTGGCGGACCCCACGACGAATCTGGATATCCTTGGTCAGTTCGTTTTCAACTTTCACTTTTGCTGTTTGATTCCAATAGAGGTTACAGATGATTCTAATGTCTCTACTGTCTATGTTTTTATTTAATAAAATTTCTTTAAGTCGATTCTGTTGCACTCTGTCAAATGCCTTCTCAAAATCAATGAAACAGGCATATACTTCCTGATTAATATCTAAGCATCTCTGCGAAAGGACACTTATTGCAAACAGTGCATCTCGTGTTCCCAGTCCTTTCCTAAATCCCATTTGTATATTACTTATGCCTTCATCTAATTTCTTATGTATTCTATTGTGAATTACTTTTAAAAACAATTTCAAGACATGACTCATTAAGGCTATGGTGCGATGTTAATTGCACTCCTTTGCATTGGCTTTTCTGGGAAGCAGTATGAATGTTGATTGGAGCCATTCTTTAGGTATTATACCTGTTCTATATATGGTATTGAATAGATCCAAAAGAAGATCAATAGATTCAGTATTCACAATTTTAAGTAATTCGATAGGAACTTCATCAGGCCCGGGAGATTTACCATCTTTAGCTTGTTTCATTGCATATTCAATTTCTTCTCGTATAATGTCAGGCCCAGTATCATCATTAAATTCTTTTTTTGCTTCTGTTCTCTCTTTGTCTTCAAATAGTTGTGCTATATATTGTGTCCATCTCTGCATTTTTTGGTTTATATCTGTTATAAGTGCACCCCTTTCATCTCTTAGTTGCCTAGTTTGAAGTGTTTTTCTCATTCCTGTTAATTCTCTAATTCTTTTATGCATGTTAAAAAAGTCATATTTTTTCTCAATTTCTTCTAGTTCTTGGCACTGCTCATGTAACATTCTCTCCTTAGCTTCTTTTATTCTCTTTTTTATTAATCGATCAGTTTCATTATATTTAATTGGATTTTTTGTTTTGAATGATTTTCTTTCATTCATTAATAGTAGTATTTCTTGGTACTGTTGACAGTGGTATAATTAAAAACGAGGTCGTGCTTTTTGTGTGTTTATTCGCATATAAATGAAAATGGTTACAATAATAAACTCAATTTAGTAATAAACACAAACCTTTTATTTTTAAACTTATTAAATGACCAATAGTGATGAATAACAGAGAATAGAACAAAAAAGTAAACCAAGAAAAAAACTATTTAATGGTAAAAGTGTCACAATTTTAGTCCGTCAAACATTCAGTACAAATATCCCTGAGATGATCCTCACATGCAAATTTGCTACATATTTGGCATGACCTTCTTGTTGACTTATTGCGAACCCGTGGACAAATACATCATATTCTTACGTAATTCATTGAAATATTAGGTGGAGGGAGTACGACTTCTTGAACTCTGTGTAGTATGCGAGCTCGTCGTCTAAGCTTTTTTGGCAGGGAAGGTATAGTTGGTCTATATTCAAATTGGGGTTTAATTAGTCTCCATGCTGTTTTTAATAAAGTCGCTTCTTGAAACTTTTCATTTATATTATTAGCTTTATATACACAGCAGGCATTTATCGCAGGCGTATTTAGCAGATCATAAAATATGACCAAGGGCCGCCGATTTGTGTTTCTTGCTAAATTGAATTTTTCACACATTTGGTCAACTGTATCTACACCTATTTTAGTATGGTTGTAAAGGTTAACGATTTCGGGTTTCTTCATATTACCAGTTTCCGTGTCAAATGCATTATCATGGTGCGTTGAACAAAACAATAGAACCGCGTTATTTTTTAGGACAATAGGAAACCATGGTGAAATTTTTCTGAAAACCAAAAAGTAAAGTTCGTTCTTCTCTATTTTTATTAGGTAAGAACTCTGGTGATATTTCACGTTTATTCTTTTTCATGATACCAACGTAAGTTGGTGTTTTTTCTTTCATTAGTTTTTTTGTTAGTGGCATACTGGTAAACCAATTGTCCCCAGTTATCTTGCGGTTTGTTCCTTCTACAGGGTGTATTATATATGTTCAGAAAAATTATTCAGCTTGTATGGTCCGTCGGGTTATATTACAACGTAGGTTTCGAGATCAAATGTGTAGAAGGTCTTTGCATCCACTAATGCGAACATCTTAATTCCATATCTGGCAGGCTTACGAGGTACATATTGTTTAAAACGGCAGCGACCCCTAAAAGCCAATAGTTTTTCGACTTTAGTCAAGAATTCACTTGCACTGAATTTTTTTTGGAAATTAGCTAAAAATATTTCAGTGACTTTCCGTATTGGTGCTAGATTATATAAGTCCCTTCTTTTATTCCTTTTTCTGATATTATCAAATCTGAGGCACCTTATTAAAAATCTAAACCATCTTTTACTCATCGCAAGGTAGCACGTTTCAATACCTCTACCTTTTGTATGGTTCCAGATTTTTTAACATATTTTCTTGAATTTCTAAATGTACCAATCAAAAACAAAATTAAAATAAATGCACGAATTTCTCTATCATCCGTTAATCTTGCATCTGTATTCCTTTAAAACCTAGTTTTAACTTTTTCAATATGTGTATTCGTCAAAATAGTTATCATTTTAATAATAACATTACTTAGGAAAATATTTAAACAGTCAATTGCTGAAATTGCGTTCCGTGAACCGTTCTGGTCACCTTTGGGACCAGAAAAGTGCTTTATAATATTATGAGAACGGATACGTGTTTGTAAATTCCCTATTATTTTTTCCATTTGGTCGTTTTATCTTTACACGCGTAATAATTTTTATCGAAATTGTCGTCGTCTAATGAAGTATCTGGGTCCGACATATTTTTGTCTTCTTCTGACGAAACCTCTTGTTCAGAGTCTCTTTCGTGGTCACTTTTTACATCTCCTCCAATCTTCTGGATTTGCATTACTTTGAAGTCTACATCTTTTGGGATCAGAGGTAGACATATAATCTGTTCGTCTGAAATGTAAAAAGAAAATGAACTAACAACTAAACACACATACATACACAACACAATCAAATTCTCTCCCACACATACTCATAGCATCTTTCAAACATACAAACACACCCACTCACTCTTAAGTACTCATGCTCATAATTTTATACATTATCTTACAATAAACCACTTTTTTCAATTATATTGCCCCTAACTAATTGTCTATTGTCCCTAACTATTGTTCCTAAAAACATGCAGTAACTAAATTTGTTATGTCAAAGTAAAAAAATCAACTCTTTTATACATTCAAACAAATCTTATGCCCATAATTTTATAATTTGTCCCTACCATTTCCATGTATCGAATGTGAAAAGTAGTACTTTTCAGAAGAGCAAGAAAACTCTTTTTTAGAGAATCCTTAATCAGCGCCTTGACAAATGGAAAATTTTTTTTTATTTTTAGATTGATAAACGAATTAAACTGTTTACTGTTGTTTTCTTTCCAAATAATCACATTCGATACTTTGCTTTTTGTGTTAATCCACGATTTGTTTTGCTACAATGTCTCAAAATTGCGAATGTGGCATTTTCGTCAGTTTATATTGGTAGAATTTTAACACATATTCATTTGGTACAATGTTTCAAAATTGCGAATGTGGCATTTTCGACAGTTCATATTGGTTCAATGTTAACACATTTATATTCTTAATGGAAAAAGAGGAAAATTAAAATAAGTTTAATGTTCTTACAAAGTTTATTACAAATGATTTAATTAAAAATTAAAGTTCTAGGATAAAATGGATAAATTATGTTTAAAAAAATTGTTAAAATTATTTTTATGAAAGTATGTTAGCTAGAAAATTGATGTAACTAGAAACGTAAAAAACATTAATTATGGAACGTCTCATCCTGGAGATACCTCACGTACTCATTCATGACCCTCAATTGTTATAAAATAATGGTAAATTAAAAGTTTTAAATTTTGAATTAAACATTATTGTTGTCTATAGTTGCGTCAGGTTTTTGAAGACAATCTCTGGCTGTACTAGATGTTGGTAAAGATTGATAATATTGGTGATATGGCCTAGGTAATAAGTTTTGTTCACATACACTTCACAAGATTGGGAAATATGTATTAACGGAAAATACCTAAATCACCTTAGATATGCGGATGATATACTCCTGATCTCCTCGGAACGACAAGAACTGGAATTAATGCTGAAAGAACTTCATGAAAAATCACTGCAAAAAGGCCTAAAAATTAACTTCAACAAAACAAAAGTAATGACAAACACGGAAGACCAAGAGGCAATAAAAATAAAAACAGAAAAAATGGAACAGGTAAATGAGTATATTTATCTAGGACAAGCAATTAGAGCTAATAGAGAAAATCAAACAGCTGAAATATCGAGACGAGTAAGAATGGGATGGGCAGCGTTCGGCAAACTTTCTTACGTTCTAAAAAATCAAACAATCCCTCTATACTTACGAAGCAAGGTATATAACTCCTGTATCATACCGGTGCTCACCTACGGAGCACAGACATGGACATTTACACAGGCCAATTTGGATAGGATAAGGAAGGCACAAAGAGCGATGGAAAGACAAATGTTGGGTGTATCACTTAGAGATAGAAAACGTAACCAGTAGATCAGAACCAGAACAAAGATAGTAGACGCGATAGAACAAGCAGCAAAACTAAAATGGAAATGGGCTGGACACAATGAACGTCTCCAAGACGGACGATGGAACAATGCCATCAGAAAGTGGCGTCCATACAATGCAAAGAGATCCAGAGGCAGACCACAGATGAGGTGGAAAGATGACATCAGGAAACAAGGAGGTCCCACATGGCAGAGAACAGCTCAAGATAGGGAAAGATGGAGAGAACTGGGGGAGACCTATATCCAACAATGGAAGGATAGAGAATAGGTTCAAAAAAAAACATACACTTCTAGACTATTTTGTTTGCCTCTTTCTTGTTTGGTTTCAAGAGATAAAAAGTTTCCATCAATTCTAGTCTTCATAAAAATTTATTTTTATTTTGCCGATACTGGTACCATACACCACCACTATATTTAAAATTAGTATTTAAATTACTTGTTTGCTCTTCATCTTTTACTTACTTCATTTTATTTTTCATATTATTCTTTTTGTTCTTTGGTTTTAATTTATTTTTTAGTGCAAATGTTACCTTTCCTTGGTTGAAATCTAAGAAGTCGTTATGAAGTAGGTATGTTACTTCAAACGGGCATGGCTTATTGCGTGCAAGTCTTATGATTTGTGCCCATCCTTCAAGGGTGTACCTATACAGGGGAATTTTTTCAGTTAGATTCAATTTTTGAATAGACAAAATCGCAATCCATTTCTGAGTGACCTGGTACAAAAACACATGGTCAATTGTTTTTAAATTTGGGTGACAATTAACAACACAACAACACATTGCAGAAAAAGCAAAGTTTTTCTGTTGTACTTTGCAATTGTCGGGCGTGTTCAATATGAGGGTAAGACATGATGTATTTAAATATACATGTAGCAATTTCAGTACCACCGCGTTTTCGCTCGGTTTCATCCTATATGAAACACTGGACGCTCCCTTCTATTAAATAATAAATAGCCAAATTATAAAAAGTTTTCTCACATAAACACAAGGTCCTTAGGCGTTGAAAAAGCAAATTGAAGACCGAAATTAAATGCTAATATTTTCCTATTTTCCAAAGCGGACTTTTTATCTTCATCTCTTTTTTTTTCTCGCTGCATCTTTTCTTTCGAGGTGTTTTTGATAGAAAGGAGAATTACACTATTTGGACGACGTCCCAAAGACAACATTCTTTAATGTTTTTTTAAATAGTTCTTCTTTTGACAAAATCGCAGTTTCTGGTTTAGCTATACCCAGTTAACTGAATATTCAGATAATCAGAAACTGATAGGAACGAACTGATAAAGTGCCTCGTCGAAACAACTTCTTAGAAGCAATAACTCACAAAATTGTGAATACATGCGTTTTGTTCTTGTCAACAATGTTTAGTATTTTCGACAGTTTGCAGATTATAATTGAATAACTGTAACAATTACAACACTGAAACTAATGAATGTGACATATTCGTCATTTTGCGTTGTACAAATATGCCTTTAGTTATATTTATACAAAACACAAGTATCGAATATTTCATTTTCGTCAGTTTGCAGTATATTCGATATTTTGACCAAAACAAAATGACAAAATGTTCATATTCGATGGTTTAAACAAAATTTTCCCGCGTTCCTTATCAAGCTACAATTTCCATATTTTGCTACAAGGTGTATCACGTCTAATGCAAGGACAAGGTATCGAATCTGGAAAACCCGATTTTTTACATTCGATAGTTGGAAATGGTAGGGACGAATGTTATCTCAAAATAAACCACTTTTTCAACTATTTTAGTACATGCAATAACTAAATTTATTATATCGAAGTAAAAAATGAATATTACCTACCTAAACTATTCCACAGATAAAAAAATATATTATCAGGTAACACTGTAACGCGTTTATACGCGTGGTCTACGATTGTAGACCAGTGCTCTTTGAATAAAGGTAAAAAAAAATAATGCAAACATATTGGCGGCAGAGTACTGAAGTATTAGTGACAGCACAGAATACTCCATCCCAACAGGGACAGCCACTAAGCGGTGTGAAGACGTATGCGTTGTTTTATGGAATTAAACACCACTTAAAGGGAAGTGGTCTACGATCGTAGACCGCGCGATTAAAACTAGGCATTAACGGTCAATCCATTTGAAGCCACGCCAAATGACTTTAGTCAAATGGATTGACGCCAAGATCATAGCCCATTCACGAACACTCCAAGTCCAAATCGGTTATCATTTTGTATTTGACGTGGTTCCGTGAAGACTTACAATGTCGGATTCCGAAGATTCTTTTCTGGTACCTTATTTTTTTTTGTTTGTAACCAACCTATTCTCTCCTTAATCTGTCTATCTCTCATGTGGTTAATTTATTTTTCTAATTTTGTGGTAGTCACAAAATCTTCTTGTACTATAATATTTACATTATCGGGTAGTTTTTGTCTACATCATCTTTGGCTTGACAATCGTCTGTACATCCTGGTCTGCTCTAAGATTAGTCGCCAATGTGTTCGGTTTCTAGAAACCTGATCTCTAGTATCACTAAGTTCGTCTCAACTCCATCTAACCAGCTAATTTGCAATCTTGCTTTGCTCTTCTTTCTATAGATGTTACTGTCGTTAGCTTTTTAGCAATTATGTTGTCAAGCATTCGTATTATGTGCCTGGCCCATCAAAGTCGTGTTATAATGAACGTTACGACATCTTGGTAATCAGAGAGTATAGACCTCACTACAAATTTGATCAGTTTCTGATGATTTATTACTTTTAAGCTTTTTAATGGCTTGGACAGTCTCTTGAGTAGGAGGAGGTCTTTCGTTTATGATAAATAGGCCTTAATCATTTTGATCTGCTGTGGTGTTATCTTTTTGTTCGATATAGCCGTTAAATTTTGCGTCGAAAAATTCAACCCATCGGTTCAAGATTGAGTCCGTATTACTTATGATATTTCCTGCTCGATCTTTACAGCTCCCTACTCTTGACATAAACTCTTTACTCATTTTGTTTATATTTCTGTAAAACTTTCTAGTTTTCATTTGAATCCTTAACTATTCTATATTTTCTAACTGCTTTTCTTCGAATTGACCTTTTTTATATAGTATTTTTTCTTCTTTTCTTAGAGTTCGGTATTCATCCCTTTTTCCGGTTTCTGTCTACAATCAATTGGAGGAAATGTATGTATCGTTTTTATATGAGGTTAAGATATATTATTGAGTGCCAGAAACTTAAATCTATTAAGAAAATTGTACCGGTAGCAATATTAAAATGAGTTCTGAAATGATTATTCATCATATAGCTGTCAGTAATATTCAATACATTTTTGACAGTATTTCCTTGGCCGAAGATTTCTTGAGAACTTCACAGTCTCTAACAAGAAGAAAAGGTGAAGGAAGTTGGTATGTGAGGTTAACCAAATGGGCTTCGGATAAACTATAATTTGGAGGAATATATATACTACAAACTGAAATTTTATTTGGACAACAAATATTAACGGTGATAACTTCTAGGTTTGTACAAATGGAAAGATGTGTATAGTCGAGTTTATTGGATATAGTCTAGACGGGATCTATTTTGGATTGGACATTTTCCATAGGAAGCTATTTTTTGCTGGAATCCCTTCAGGATGTGCCTAATATCGATAATCACGATATGCGCCAGTCGCAAACCCTGTGCTAAATTTTTTATTTAACAAAATATGAAAACAATTAAAAATTTCTCATTTTTTTGCTCCTAATTTCGTTTATATTTCGGAAAATATTGATCCTAGAGAAAAAATTATAAGAAGTTAAAAGTTACGTAATTCAAATTTACACAATATTTTGTTAGCTACAAATTGAAAATTTAATGTTTATTGTTGAAAAATAGCAATAATTGGAAAAAAAAGTACAAAAAAATGAAGTTAATCCTTTAAATGTTTTTGACTTTCTAAACTTCACTTACAAGCTCCATATTCCGCCTAGAAAAACTTTTTAATATGTTTAAATCGTGTGCTAAATTTTGTTAAGATCGGTCGGATAGGTTTTGCATAATAATTGTGCAATCCAGCCTACTGGAAAAAAAGCGCAAATTTTCAAATTTATAGTAGGCCCTAAATAAGGCCCTCAGATAGTTGCAATTTTTTTTACATATAAAGCAAGGCTCAAACTTCCAAACGCTTTTTGCAAAATTCAAATCGGTTCACTGGGAGAGCCTAAAAATTTTTTTTTAAAGGTTTTAAACATTATTTAGGCTTATAAACAAATTGAATAACTTTACGAGCTTTAAACATATCATTTTCAAATCAAAATATATTCTCAAATCAAATAATGTCATAATTATAATAAAACTGCAAAAATTAATTATTTTAAAAAGTTTGATTCTTACAAAAAAAAAATCTTTCGCCTTTGTTTTAACAATTCAAATTATTTATTAACAATTTATAAATTCATATTTGTTTACTAAAATTAACAATATATAATAACAGTAATAATTTGAATTGGCAAAACAAAGGCGAACGAAATTTTTTTTTTTGTAAAAATCAAACTTTTTAAAATAATTAATTTCTGCAGCTTTATCATAATAATGACATTATTTGATTTGAGAATATATTTTGATTCAAAAATGATAGGTTTAAAGCTCGTAAAGTTATTCAATTTGTTTATGAGCCTAAAAAATATTTAAAACTTTAAAAAATTTTTTAGGCTCTCCTAGTAAACCGATATGAATTTTACAAAAAGCGTTTGGAAGTTTGAGCCTTCCTTTATATGTAAAGCAGATTGCAACTATCTGAGGGCCTTATTTAGGGCCTAGTATAAATTTGAAAATTTGCGATTTTTTTTCAGTAGGCTGAATTGCAAAATTATTATGCAAAACCTATCCGACCGAACTTAAAAAAAAATTAGCACACGTTTTAAACATATTAAAAAGTTTTTCTAGGCGAAATATAGAGCTTGTAAGTCAAGTTTAAAAAGTCGAAAACATTTAAAGGATTAACTTCATTTTTTTGTACTTTTTTTTTCCAACTATTGCTATTTTTTCAACAATAAACATTAAATTTTCAATTCATAGCTAACGACGTATTATGTAAAATTAAATTACGAAACTTTTACCTTCTTATAATTTTTTCTGTAGGATCAATATTTTCCGAATTATAAACGAAAATAGGAGCACAAAAATGAGAAATTTTCAATTGTTTTCAGATTTTGTTAAATAAAAAATTTAGCACAGGGTTTGCGACTGGCGCATATCGTTATTATCGATATTGGGCCCATCCTGAAGGGTTTCCAGCAAAAAAATAGCTTCCTATGGAAAATGTCGATTATGGTCTGAATTTTTACAGATCCCGCCTAGTCTAATATAAATGTGGATGTTGTAAGTCCGGCACTGATATCGAATAAGCACACATGCTTTTTGATTGATCCTGACAGATTAGTAAATTTAACTTATAAAAACCGATCATAGAATTCTTACATTACGTTAACATCAAGTATAATAGTGTTAGTTCAGTGTGTATAGAAAAACATTTTCTTTGAGTATATATTTTTATATTAATAACTAATTCATAACCAAAGAATTTTATAAAACCATCAATAAATAACACCAGTCATTAATCGACACCAGTTTTTTGTCGTTAAAGACAATTACCAAAACCCGAAGCGGAACAGGTCCGTACTTAGGAAAATTAAATGGTGTTGAGAAATG